GGAAGACGTCGGAACTTCCGCGTTTTATCTTTTTTCCCGGCGGTTAAAGGGGAAGGAGGGGGTGGATGAAGAAGGGAGAGAGAGATAATGGCTACAGTTTTGCGCGTGTTCAATTCCTTTCTTCTCAAGATGCGAGTGGGTGGAGAGGAAAAAAAGAGCGAGCACGTTATTTATCTTGTTAAAAGTCACGTCACTCGTGGTGAAGGATATGGGCATGGAATGACTCGTTTAATATTTAAAATAGCCATTGATAGGATTTCTTGCGCCGATACGATGTTGTACTTATCCGGTCGAGCAGTTGACCTAAAGTTCCGGTAGGAACGAGGAAAATATGGCGAGCAAACGAGCGAGCAGGAAACGAAAGAAACGCGTAGGCGTGATCGGTAACGAGCTGTTAACGCGTTTATGGACTGGTGATATCGTGTATTACGAGGTAGCAAATTGAATCGTTTCCACTCTCTCGAACGGTGACAGAATGACACTTTTATACCAGGATTTTACCTTCTATGTCTCGCGTTGTAATTATCCGTATTGTCGCAAGACGGTTTCGGTAATTTGATATCAAAAGGAAAGTAGTTGGAAAATTATTTGGCGTGAATATATCCTTCGAATATATAATAATAATGGATGAAAAAAGTGGAGTAATTGTACTCGCGTTATTTAATCTGTCACCTTTGTATCCCGTTTCTTTCCCCTCGTTAAAAATAATTAATACTCCCAAGAGATCCCAATATATTTTTAGACCTCGATAATGAAAATTTATTATCGTCAAAACGTAAAGCAAAAAATGTCATGGAAAGTACCAGTGAAATACCAAAAAAAAAAGGAACAATGGAATTTTTTCTTCGTTTTAAACGAATGAAATTTCAAGAATCGAATATTTTTTTTTTTTTTTCCTCTGAATTTTTTTGCGAATTATTATATTTGCGTAAGAATGCGCGCACATAGTACGGGACCATACGAATATTCGAGTATTCCATTCATCGGGAAATTCTTTCGGATGCCACGTCATGGTGGCACGGGGCCGAGGAGAAAAACGCGTAGAGCACGAACAATGGGAATATCAAAATTATCGCGGTGCACCTGCACGTACTATAAACGATCCATTGATTCTGTGGGCCGCGCACACAGGGCGGTGAATTTTCACCGAAGCCACGGCAGTAAAAACGCGATGGGAAATAGGTCGATGCGATCGTACGAAAGCCACTCGCGCAATAATAAATGCATCGTATGACCACTTCCATAAGATCGCATCGACCTATTTTCTATCGCGTTTCGCCCCTAAATAGTCGGGTTAAAGGGAAGGTAACGCTACTTTCAATCGATTGTTTGTCTTTCATCTTATAAAATCGTGAAATTAACGAATTAATTGAATCATCGAATCGAAGATCGATTAGTACGTGATACTCTTATATGGATTTCAAGCCATAATAATTTTTGCTCTTCTCTAAAAATTATCGAAAGAGAGAAAGTTGTGTCTTTTCAAAATTATTCTGAAAAGAATAAAAATATATATATATATTTAAAAATGTTTTTAAGATACCATTTTCATATTTATCTCTTCTTCTTCTCGTATCATCTTCTCAAACTTCAATGCACGTACGAACAATCATAGACGAGGTATTTACGTTCATATCGCGAGAGAAATTTCAACAAGGAAATTTCCATAAAAATTAAAATGCTGATCGTTCAGGTTCTCGTGAAATTGATGTATAACGGATCGCGCCTGGGGATACGTTCATCTTGGACGGCCTCGCCTCGAAATCGAACCGGTTCCCATAAATCAATTGACACGAATCTATATCCTAATAAAAGGAGCAACGCGGCCCATAGCTGCCAGGAGGCAAAAAGACGACATAGCACGATGCACTTTGCGCTACACCGATATCGTGCAACTATACACAACGTGAACATATTACGCGTTTAAACTTGGCCGGACAACCTATGTAACGTAGCGATATTTAACACCGACTATGAAGAACCGATCCACCTATTGTCGTACCGAAAAACGAAAATATCATATTCCAAGATATTAACTTTCGTTCGTCGTTTTCTATCATTTTTCGAGAGAGAGGAATCGATTTATAATTAATTGTACAGAAATGACAATTATGACTCAACTATTCTTATTACTAAATTAAAATTTACTAAAAACAATCTCCTACCACGAAATTCACTAATCCGCATCATCTCACGCCCGATAAGAATAATAACACTAAACTAGAATTGCCACTTCGTCCATGATATTTATAAAACAACCGTCGATTTACGGTCGAGCCTTACCTTTGTGCGAAGAGATAGGAAAAGGGGACGGTTTTTACCGGGAACGGTAATCATTTTTATCGGCCCTACGGCCCCGTCGCTTCTGACCGGCGTCGGATAAATATTTATGGCCGCCCCGGTATATACCGTATATACACGTTCAGGCGTCGATACCCTCGTAACTCAACCGTGGTACAGCCGATTTCTCTTTATGGCCGCCGCTAGGCGACGAGTTACAGCTACGTTGAATTTACGGAGGGGGGCCCCGCCCCGCTTTAATCCACCCCTGTAATTGCCCACGGCCTCGAAACGCGACGAAACTCGTATCAGGGAGGGAAGGAGGAGGAGGAAGAGGAGGAGGAGGAGAAGAGAGGGGGGAGAGTTTCGAGGTCGACGACATCCACCGACGTCGCCGGTTTTCGCGCAGACGGAAACAATGCGAAAAGGTTGCTTTTCACTAGGCTGGGACGGAGCGTGGGAGGGGTTGGAGAACAGCCACGCTTCCGCCACCTCGTGGTCGAGCCACGAAACTTTCCTTGACCGGGGTTGCCTAACCTTCGACCAGATGTCGGCACGCACCGTGTTTTCCTCGTCGTCCTGGCCAGGAGACGCGGGTATTCCCTACTCATCGATACGTTCCAATTGGATTCGAAGGATGAATAATGCGGGCTAACAGGCTGCACAGGCTGGAACGGTATTGGAAAGTGGGAACGAGGTTACCTTCCCTCGATTGCACCTCCGAGGGACAAGAATTTCTTCGAGGGGGAGGAGGGGGTGGATATCGATTCTTCGAATCGGAGCAACGACAGGGGCAGGATGAAGTTTACGAGGCGTCGATAGTTACAGCGATTCTGATAATAAATAATTGGAAACCGTTGCGGTCCTCGTTCCAACCACGATAGGATTTCCTTTCGTTCGAAACACTCTGTCGCGAGGGAAAAATTCTTTGCAGGAATTAGTAGTAGAAAGTAATTGCTTGTAAGAAGAAAAATTCGAGCGAGACAAGGAAGAATTTGAATAATAAGAGGATTACAAGGATTGGTAAGAGAAGTTGTTTTTTACATACTGCATTGTAAGCGAACCTCGTTGTAACGCTCGAGGTCGACGACGAATAAAGCGGCTTGGCTTTATTCGAATACTGAAACTAATTTTTCTCTTTTCGA